ATATATATATATATATCTCCCTCTCTCTCTTTCTCTCTTCCTCTTTTGCTCATTCATTCATACTTTTTTTTTGTCACACATTCACACGTCATTTTGGATCGTTCAGCAGCTTCGATCGCTGTGATCGAAAATTCGAGTTCGTGTGGGATTTATTCTATACGCTTTCAACGCTTCTAAACTCTTGTTGTTGGTTTTTAGTTGTTGCGCAAATATTGATACAACGCTCATCCATTTGTTCGTAATCACTCTCTTATTCTTTTCCCTCATCTCCTGTCTATTCTGGCTGTTTCTCTTCTTATTTCTAAAATTAGTATTATTTTCATGCCTTCTATAGTTTCTCGTTAATGGAGCTACACTTCATTCACCATTCTCATTCGCCACATTTCACATTTCACAGACTTACTGGCTCTTCTACACACACACACACACACACTCTCTCTCTCTCTCTCTCTCTCATTCGTACGCGCTCGATGCATTCGATTTTGTAAATATATTTATAGACTTAGAATTTTCAATTCTCTCGGCGATTTCGTCGCCTGGGCTTCTTCCAATCGCCTCGTTCTTGTTTCCTTCATTCACAACACAGGCACGCATACACACAACTCGTTTATTCACTCGTTCATTCGTCCCTGCAATGCCTGCAATTGCTTATCAATCATTCTTTACAGATGTTAAAAGCATTGAAGAAGTTGATTGCACAATCGATTACATTTAACAAGGACGTAAACGCCCAGTGTGTTCGGAAGGTTTCTCGTTTATTAACTCTGTCTCATCGAGTTGATCATTCATCAAATTAAACGATGGACATTATCGATATGTCAAGTTCAGTTTGTAACAACGATCGACGACGACGCCTCTCTCGTGACTTCAGATTACAAGCTTACCTAATACTCCCGGGTGTCACAGCATTAAAACATCCACGTTCAACATTTATCCTCCTCTTCTGTTGATAATATCTTACGTATATAACAGTAACTGATGTGCAACAAACTTGCCCAATCAATGGTGTATGATACAACAAGTGAACTGCAATTATTACTCATCCACGCTTGTCTCTGTTAACAGAGAATGTGTTGTCACAGGCTCCTCTCTAAGCATTTCTATTTCTTCCTCTCTCTCTCTCTCTCTCTCTCTCTCTCTCTTCACGTGACAGTGATTGATATTGTATAATGAAGATCCAATGATCTAAGCCTCGATTATTATGTACACACATAGAGACTCCTGTATGAAATATCAATTTGTATAAATCATAATATAAAAGAAGAGAGAACAAAACAACGTCGATTAACATTTGGAATGAATTGAAACTCAGCCATCTGTTGAAATTACAAACTTCTCACCCCCTTTCAACTGCGATTCAAGTGTAATCTTAAA